CAATTTTATCTATTTTAGAAATTAGAAAAATTAGAAAACCGTATTTAAAGAATCACGCGTGATCACCTCTCTCTCCCCCCCCCCTCTCTCTCTTCCTCTTTTTTCTTCTTCTTTTTCTATCTATCTATCTATCTACCTATCTATCTATCTATCTATCTATCTATCTATCTACCTATCTATCTACCTACCTACCTACCTATCTACCTACCTATCTACCTACCTATCTACCTATCTATCTATTTACCTACCTATCTATCTGTCTGTCATAAAACTTTAGATGCCTCTGCTCTAGTTTAGACTGATACGCTCGAAACGTCGTTGTATACGCTCTCTCTTATCGCCGATGTCCAACGGACTAATTTAATTTAGTCGACATATTGCGTTAATGATATAGAGTCGCAAATCTCTTGTAAATCTCGTCTAGCTCTGATCACAGTGAATTCGAACTCTATTGATTGTGTAAGTAAACGCGCGCGCATTTTCACGGATCATGTGCCTATGTACTAGCGATAGTATGTCTAGTACTAGTACAGCCTATATATACTATGATGGAAATGATTTAGGAAATACAAGCCAATTTTCTGTTTTCCTTATTTTCTTTTTAACAAACAAAAGCATGGACTTTCCTTCTCTTCATCATGCTGATCAGTGCTGGACATCTATGTATATTTTTCTACGTGTAAAATATCTATCCTATATGGACTCTCTTCGCTATAATCGCGAGAAACTGGCACACGTTTGAAACTGCACCAATTTTTGGCTATTACAGTAACTATTCTATCGATTATAAATATACGCGAGTGAAGAATAGAAAATATAGTGGTTGTTTTTTTCATATCATTTTTCAACTTCAGGTCACTATAGAACGCATATAAGACGTAGTCGGATAATGAAAGCGATTTAGATATTCTATATATATATATGCGTAGATTTTATTGTAAATATAATATCTCTACAGAGACTTTCGCGTCGCGCCTAACGCGATACTAATCCGTGTAAAAAGTGGGACCGTACATCTCGAGTTTATTTCTATCTATTAAATAGTTTTCTATACTGTGTACTTATATAAAATTCTAGCTCGATCGTAATATACGACGATATTAAGTATATATAAGATAAATGAACAATGATAATCCGTAACTTGATTCGTAGAACGCGATCATGCTTTCGACAATTAGAGAGTTTTCGTGTGCTCACCACATATAGAGCCTAACGATTTAAATGCAAACTAAAGGTGAATCGTACATTCTCTTGAACGTAGGGCGATTCTCATCTACGACAAACATGTCGCTGTTAGAACATTTTTGTCGCAATCTTATCAAAATGACATTTGTTTTATCTTTCTGTGATTTTCAAATGCATGATGACATACAGATAAATAGTTATAATTATAATTCGGATGTAATACATAAGATATCACTAATTATATCTCTTAAGATTTAGTAAGATTTTTTCGCGTTTAAAATATTTGCTATTTTCGGAATGACACGGAAAATTATGATACTCTATGCCGTAAATACAAATATTTCGTCGAACAAATTGTGAGAGGGAAAAGATACCTCAAAGTATGTACGTTTCTTTTGCGTATATCGTTTATCATAATTTCGTTTCTCTTGAATTTAAAATTTCTTAAAGTCTCTTAAAGTTTTACAACGAAGTAATAAAAACGTGTTACTCACTCACTTTTGCGCGTATTTTTTCTGTTACTCTTTGCATAAAAACAATCAAAGTTATTTCCATTATTAATGAATTATCTGATTAAGTTGGAACAGTATTCGTAACATTCGTGATTTACATCGTAATGGATTCTTAGGTTCCCTGCGCACGTGGAAAAGAATGTGTTACTAAAAAAATAATCGTTCCTTAGCAAATACATTTTACTATCACAGCAAAATCGTTACTATTGTGTAATGGATTAGGAGAATCACTTTCTCATCGCAGTGAAAAATAAAATTCATAGATTCTTTATTTACAATAAAAGTATAAGATTACAAAATTTTGTACACAAGCCTCTACGGTATATAATAACTAACAAAATTTGTTATTTAAAAAGTATACTGCTTGAGAAAAAACTTTTCTTCTCTGTGCGTTTATACGCTCATATGTAGTTCCTAAAATTTTAAGATTGATTTTTATTTATTATTGTAATAGTAATTAATTTAAATAATTAAATACTAAACATTTTTATGAAATATTATTAAGCATATATATTTTAATTAATACTGTATGTAGATATTATATGTCGTATATGTAAATAATTGTATAAAAGAGTTAAATGGAATTGTATGCATTAATCGAATCTCGAATCTTTTCTCTTCTCGCTGGGAATCTAAAGATCAAATCTAATTTGGATATAAAGAACAGGCTTCCTATATTAGAATTTTGATAGTAATAGTCCATGAGATATGTCGCTTATGTAGAAAACTCGCGGAATATAAGCAAGACCAAAGTAACAGCTATTCTTTATGCAACAATCAATTTTTACAATCTGTATATAAAT